TTGGTTGGGGATTTGACGACTGTGAACTTGGAAAGACCAGTCCTGATGCAGGGCAGTTCTCCATCCCTGTAATCACCCCAGGAGGTAAGCCCTTCACAAAGGGTCGTCCCCTGGAAAAACCTGGCTCCATAATCCCGTCCCTTCTGGTTGTGGCCAGATTCAATAACTGCAACTCCCATCCTGTCAGGAAGAGCAGGCAGCTCTGCCCCGGGAGATGATGGGGAACATGATCTCACCGTGACAGAGTCTGAAGCGCAGCTGGAACAGGTTCTGGGAAAAGGGGGATGCCAGCAGGGTCAGCTCCAGGTGGCACCGGTCCATGTCATAGCAAGTCTGGTGCCTTAAACTGAAGCCTGCACTCAAGGAAGCACACCCTTCCGGGGGCAAAGACGTTTGTCTCCTTCTGGGAAGCTGTTGTGTAGGTCAGCTGTAAGGAAACCACAGTACATGGAAAGATAAGAAAATGTGCTCAGGGTCCAGAGTGGAAATGTCAAAGCTATTTTGAAGCTTACCAGTCCAGATGGAAACATGGGGTGCTCTTGACAATGTCCTATTCCCCTGGGGGTTCCTGTCAGTGAGCATGTGACAAGATGTTACTGCAGGACCAACCTCTGGTTATACTTTGTACAGCCTGGGCACTTAGTGTGCACAGAACCTCAGGGGCTCCTACTGGGGGGGGGTCACCACCTGACAAACAGAAGCACCACTGTAAGCAATTTCAAAATGAGAGAGTGAAAAAAAAGCAATGAGTCCTCTAGTTCTGCTGGTTTCTCAATAAACAAAGCTGGCCCCGCTGTCCAACTGCGAAGCTGGCCAGAAACCACAGTGACACCATGAAGGGGACTTCTAGAAAGGCAGGCCAAGCACACTGTATGCAGGACAAATCGGGTAATTTTATTCTCATTTTTCCTTAAAATAAAGATACAGTAGAAGTTTTACAATTCAGTATTAGACGTGATTTATGATTTTAACACTTTTAAAAAACAAATGACAACGGAAACAAAGAACTAGTACAAATCATCAAACTACTAGAGCAAAGAGAAACCGTGTTCCCGATCACAACGTGTGCCGCAGCTCACCTTCCTTAGAAACCTTTCTAAGATTTCTAAGCTAAACTTTCTTAGAAAGGTTTTGTGAAAAGCCTTTAATCTCCAGTACTTAAACTATTTCTGTAACGACTAAATGCCTCCACCAGCTTGTTAATCAATTGCTTCCTAAACTTAGGAACCAGTGACCAAGTGGCCTGAAACACTTAAGTCTTAGTCCTATTTTTCCAGCTAAAAATTATTAGTATTTCAAGAAAACAAAGTATTTTCTAAGCACATACGTTTTCTAAAAACTTCAATTACCCTTTCTGGCTCAGTACTTGACTGAAATGTTCAAATGTTTATATTGCACACAAAAAAATTTGAGCAGCATACTTGTGTGTGTGTGAGAAGCTGATGGAAAATAAGACTGAGGAAAATCCCTACACTGTGTCCCATTTACATGATTTAAATATATAGTTTCTATATCTTTAATATAAGTAAAAAGGTAATCTTTAGAACAGCACAGAAATACAAATGCATTAGAGTTTTACAAAATATATTCAACCCCTTATAATAACGTGCACAGCCTTCTGATTTTGCAGCTGCCATACAAGGGAGCTAGTTTCTTCTCCACACGAAAGCAGGAAGTCATGTGTACAAAGTTATTTATATGAGAAGAATAAAGATCCACATTCCTTTTCTTTGTCCTTGACAAATATTTATGGAATGTTGGAAATTATTTAAAAAACAATTCCAATGCTATGAGGTCCAAAGACTTGGAATGAAAAAAGCTCTAGTGGCACACTGTGCTACGTGGAATGACAATCTCCTTCTAGAAACGAGGGCTGCGTTCCCCATTGCGTTCAGAGGCTGGCACGGAACTGGGTGGGAAGGCCATGAATGCCAGGCCACTTCCGGTCAGTCAGAGCATGCGAATGTCATCTCAAGAGTCCCAGCCTCTCCAACCAGTTTTGTAAGATGAGAACAGTTCTGCAGATGGATGGCGGTGATAGTTGCAAATAAGAATGCACTTCATACCACTTAAGTGCACACTTGAAAATGGTTAAAACAGTACATTTTATGCTATGTATATTTTACCACAATCAAAAATTGACGGAAAACAAACAAAACAGGCAATGTTTAGTGGCCAACATCCTCATGAGCTACTTTCCCAAACTGCTGAAGCAGTTGAAAGTTCAAGGGGTGCAGGATCAGTCCAGGGCCCCTTCCAGGGCTAAGTGCCCCCAAACTCATCACCGAGCCTGAGGGAAAAGGACCACTGGCCGGAACTTCCACAAAACAAAACAAACCCCTGCCTGCCAGGGAGATAAAGTTATAGCTTCATTTTAAAACTTGTAACTAGCAGATTAAAAGTCTAACTTCTTTGTAAAAGAATTCTTATAACCTTTAGCATACTGAATATTGCTCTTCAAATACTTGCATTCAGATGTTAAGGACCTTGTCTCTCAGTTGCACAACAACTTCTCAATTCTCTCTCTTCTTTATTTGCTTTCTCCCTGCCTTTCCAGGTAAATTATTAAGAAAAAAATTCAACACTTAATATGAAAAGCAAGGTTGAGGAAATCACGTCATATGCTCTGATTTGCTGCCCAGAGATACTGCTGCTGTGTTTCTTAAAGCAAAAAGTAGAAGAGAATTATGTCAGGGGGCTGGTAAATCACTAACAGTTTTGGGGACACACTATTCATATTGGTTATGTGAGCCAAATGGAGATGCAAAATTAACTCTAAGCCGTAGGTTGACATGCAACTCTTTCTGTTCACCTAGCCCTGGACACCTGGGCTAGCTTTAACCCTCTTTCCTTTACCTATGTCATCATCATCATAGTGTCTAGTAGGAATCAAAGCACACCAGCAACTTCTTCCAAACACTATTTTTAAGTCACCTGGACAGCAGCAAGGTCTCCACCAAGCTGGGGATTCAGTCTGTGTGCCTGGCACACTCTGAAGAAGCCTGGCTGACCCCAGCTCCCTCAGTTGTACACTCAGTTCTCAGACAAAAGCACTGGAGCCAGCGTGGCCAACCACAGCACACACCTTCACTGCCCGAAGACGGCCCCACCAGCGTTGGCCGCAATGGCTCACAGAGCCAGTGACGGGAGGAGCCCAGTGCTTCCGGTCCAGCCTCTGCGCTGGAGCTGGGAACCCAAACCTGAAGCACGTAGGTTCCCAGGACTAGAGGCCAGACTTTCTGCCCTCATCTGTGCTGGCTGCCCTGGGCCCCTGCCAACAACATAATAGCTGGACCTCCCTGAAGACGCCCATACCTCCCAGAACCTGAAGGAAATACAGTTATGGTCTTTTGACCATTTCTATGAAAAAAGTTCTATCTTCTGAGATACTCATTTTATGTTGAAAGCCAGTTAAATGACCAAGAGTTGAGCTGGAAACATTAATAGAAAATTCAATTAAAGTGTATATTAAAACAGGGAACAAGTGATACTGAAGCAAAATTAAATTTCATATACAACTATTTTTATTTCAGTGAGATTCCAAAGTGGATTCCAAAATGGAGTGGACTACTTTGATCAGTGAGAGATGAGAGCTGACCCCAGGCACACAAGCCTTACAAACTGAAGGCTGATCCCTCACAGTGCTCTTAGCACCGGGGACACCTGGCGGTGGACAATTGCACACTATACACTATCACACTCTATCTAATGATGTGACTTCATGAAACGATGAGATGTTAGTCTCAGTGCAACACTGATTAAAGTACCCTTTAAAGTTTTGCTTAGTACTACTTCCTTCTCTTTAAATAATATTTCCTGAGAAAGTTAACTTTCCTAGCAGAAGTGGAATTAATGGAGTTCTCCAATAAGCCCTTTATCGTCAATGAATTCTTGAGATTATACTCAAAGGGAAGTATGCTATTAGATTTGCAAGACTTGTGTTAAAACACAAATTGTAAAATTTTTAGGGATATTTAGATTATGTCCCTATGTTCATTTCACATGCCCTAGTAGTGCTTATACAAAATATTTCTTAAAGGATAAATCAAATATAATCAAGCACCTCCCCTAATTAGGCCCCTTATTTTCTCAATACTCTTAAATCACATGTAGATTATATTCACAATATATTTTCCAAGTACCCTCTGTCACTGAAAAGGCATTCTGTCCCCTGTAAGTACTCCCTGAGAACACCCATTCAAAGTCCCCTCGAAAAGCAAAGGAGAGCTGGGCCTGCAGCTCACGAGGTCCTGCTGTGCAAACGCCTCCAGTAGCGAGCACACACATGCGGGTCTGAAATGAGGCCGGGTGACATTCATGAAACAAGACTGATGCCACGGCTGTAGTTTTCTTCTCTTGCCTCTTGCTTTTCTAAACATGAGCTAAGATGAGATTTCTATTTAATATGTACAGATCATCTTTTCTTTTATAAACAGCTTTAGAAGGGGGTAGAGCCTGATTACAGGGGATTTTCCATCAGGGAAGTAGGAAGGCCAAGTGCCTTGAAAAGCTTTATGAAGAGTGGCTAAGAAAAGACCTATAAGTCTGTAAACACCCAATGGAAAACTGTTCAAAAGAAGAAATAGAGGGCACAAACTCTGGGTTAAAAAATGCGTGTAAAGATTGCAACGTGACTAGTGTTGACAGAGCTGACACCTAGGTCTTTAAAAGTCTCGTGCCCTAAATACACATTCGTGTTAAACTGCTTGAGCACAGGTGTAACTGACACCATGTTCCTTCTTTGCATACTTAACAGAACAATGAGGGAGAACAAGAAAGCACAGTGACACTCCTTGACACCTCAAAGCATGTGCTTAGGATTGGGAAAGAATGAATTAAAACACTGCATCCTTAGAACTACCACCTCTGACTTTCACATTTCTAGGAAGAAGTGAATTGATGAACGTTTTTTGTGTGTAGAAAACCAACAAGCAGAAAAATCATCATATAATCCAGCAAAATAATAACAAAGGGGTGGATTATATGGCCCCTTCACTTTGTAAGCACATTTTAGGGACCATTTTAGAGAAATCAAAATAGTAATATAACTTAATTTTAGCACATATAAATTACAGCGACCATCTGGATATTTAAACAGGAAAACAACACAATTTACGTTTAGTAAAAAACTTCTCAAGTAAATAAACGTTTAACATTGGAACTCAAAATTCATTAGAAGGTTCACTGGGTGTTTTAATCAGGCTCAGACTGAAATAAAAGTAGTCAATTTAAACTCCAACCTGGGAGGCCATCCCTGCTATGGCTGCGATCTCATCTTTTCAGCATCTCGTGACATTTACTTAGACAGAGGGCAACCATCCGTGTAAACAATGTGACGTATCGGTCCCCTGCTGTGGACCTGCAGCTGATGAAGAACAGTCTGGGAGCAGCAGACAGACAGGGAACGCTTAAACCTAAGAAAGTGACGGCAGCTTCTGGGCGGCTGGCTCAGGGCTTCCCATCGGGCGGCTCAGTGAGACTCTGGGGAGTGGAACTGGTGAAGGTAGAAAGCCATGAAGACATAGCTGTCTTTGCACTGGAAAAAGCTCCTCCGACCGACTGGCCTGAATGGAAAGGAGGGGAAAAACGAAAGGAAAAATGTCTTCACTCTTGTTAAGTGGCAGTGAATAACTAATATTAATAATTAATATATGTTAATAAACGGCAATACATCAATATGGTAAAAAGCTTACTAAAATACAATTTACATTTCTAGTTTCAAAATAATCCCTTACCATGGGAATGTCTATAGGAACCTGGATAATGTCTGGGTGTAAGAGCCTCCACACCTAAGCACTTTGCAAGTATTTAGCAAACTCTTTCTCTAATACCCACTGTGCTAGGCCAGTGGTTCTCAACATGGGCTGTCCAGCAGAATGACTTGGGGAACTGAAAAAGTCCTATGTGCTCCCTGTACCCTAAATCCAAGTTGATAATTGAGAAACACCTACATAGGGAAGAGCTGTTTGGCTGCTTTAGGAAAACTTGCTTTTGTCAACTAAAACGATGTTACATCAAATGAAGACACACAGCGCTCTATCTGCCTCAGGTCTGTTTTGTTTTAAAGAGCATTATCTCCAAAGTTGATGTTACAATGAAATTATTTAAGTTGAATTATATATTCCCCCTATTCTTGGAGAGGGTAGTGTGGAAGGAGAGAACAGGCCTTAGAATTTAAATAGCAGCAGCATCACTAAAAATTAACAATCGACATCATTTGCCTATGATAAAGTTGAATTTTTCTATCAGAAAGTAACAATTCAAAATAAGTAAAATGTATTGTATGGAAATAAATGCTTATATATCAATTTCACTTCCTTGTAATAAAATAAACCTCGTGGTAGGGCTGTGTGCCCTGTGTTTGTCTTCTAAGCTGAGCCTGAGCGGTAATTCTCTCACCCTGTCTATCTCTAGGGATACAGAACGTTAGAGCTACAAGGACCTCTGCACAGAGATCCCTGAGTTGGGGGCTTTTGAACTGTGTTCAGTATGGGTTAGTCAACCTCTCTCAGGAGTGAAGGAAGGAGACGGGTACTATATTTAATATTGATGAGACAAAAAAGCAACTATGGCAAAATGTAAATTGGTGAATCTGAGATAACTGGGAGTTCTCTGAACACTGTTACACCATTTCTTTAAATTTGAAATAATATAAAAAGTTAAAAATATAGAAAAAGGAACAAGAAATTTCTTTAGAAAGGATATGTAATAATCTTCAAAATATTTTAAGTGAAAAAAGCTAGGTACGGAAGGGTGTATACAACAGCATGCTGCCATTTGTCTGGCTTTGGTATCAGGGTAATATTGGCCTCATCAAATGAACTGGGAGTATTACCTCATCCACCACTTTCTGAAAGAGTCTGTGTACAATTAGTATTATTCCTTAAATGTTTGACATAATTCATTAAGTGAAGCCATCTAGGCTTTGAAATTCAAAAGCTTGCGGCAAGTTTTAAATTTTTAGTTCAATTTATTTAACAGATATAGGCTATTTAGATTTTCTGTTTCCTTACTGCATCAGTTTTGCCCATTTGAGTCTTTCAAAGAATATGTATATTTCACCTAAATTGTCAAAAAAAAAAAAAGCCTACGATTACCCAGAATATTCCATCATCTTTTTTTTTTTTTGGTGGGGGAGGTAATTATGTTTATTTTTAGAGGAGGTACTGAGGATTGAACCTAGGACCTTGTGTATGCTAAGCACGCACTCTACCACTGAGGTATACCCTCCCCCTCCATCATCTTTTTATTTTCTGTAAAGATCTATAGTGGCATCCCCTTTTCCATGCCCAATACTGGTAATTCATCTTCTTTATCTCTTTATTAGTCTACAAAGGTTTTATTAATATTGTTGATCTTTTCAAAAAAACAACTGTTGGTTTCACTGATGATCTTTATTGTGCGAAACTACCTTAAAAGACAGCAGCTCCTAATGCCTGCTTTACTATTCTGGCCCTCTACTCCTTACAAAGAACTGTGGGCAGCTCAGGGAATGGAGGGAAAACTTCAGTGAAGCTTGAATCCTGGTAACAGCAGATACTTTGATATTATCTAGCACCACAAGAATTTTTTTAAATTAATAAGACCAAAATTAAAAACAAAAACCTCTGTATTCAGCATTATTACGTGATACACAGATCTCTACAACTTTGTTTCTATCAATGACACACTGAGGATAGAGAAGAGATGTGTTATGATTCCAATCTGTTCCTGTCTAAGACATGCCTTACCAACAGCTTTTCCTGTTTGTACAACGTTCCGGCTCGTTGTGACCATGACGTTTCCAATTTTTTTGCCCCGTTCACTGTTTTGAACAGAACTGAGTAAAGGAAAGAAATGTTAAGTACAATTAAAAAAAAATCTCTCTCATACACATTAACCACTCTATAACGATCCCCTCAATCAGAATTATTGAGAAAAGAAGCTAAGTTATTTATTATTTGTTACGTATCAATTAATTTACTGACATTTTAAGCATGGGAATTTTCAGAAAATTCTGTTAGAATATGCAGATGGGCCAAAAAGTGGTGAGGACATAAGGATGTATGGTTAATTCTCTGGTAACAGAGCAGTACGGTCATAATTTGCTAAAGTTTCTTCACCAGAATAAAAATGGCAGATCCTGCTATTAGTTCACACCATTCTCCATGAAACAGCAGTGTTTTCACTTTGAAACATACACACTGCTGAGCTAGAGAATGTCATACACATATTTGGTTACTATTTGCAGCACAAGTCTGTGAAGTGGAGAAAAACAATTCCCAATTAGCAACGAAACACATGGCATAAATTCAGACGTAAGAATGTTCCTAGTATTTACTTTCTCTAAATACTCACTGTGAGAATCTTAACTTCATGTCTGACACTGAGTACTGGCCTTGGAAAGGATGGCTGTAAAACAAAAGTTTGAGTTTAGGCTATGAGTATTTCACCAATAAGACTGCAACAGAGTTATCTCAAGGAAGTATCAGGAAACCTCGCGGGGGTGACTCAGCCGGGTGGTGGTGCTCCGAACGTGGTATAGGAAACGGGGCTTTGATCATAGCTCTCCACTTACAGTTATGGGAACCCTTCTGAGCTTATTTCCTTGCTTGTACAATAGGTGTGCTTTTTTCTTGGGTGGGGCTGGTTTGTCTAAGTGCGACCCTAATGTTCTTATTTATCTGGCCTGGGGTTGGGCCCAAGCACCAATATTTCAAAAAAAAGCTCCTGACATAGACAGGGTTAGGCTCACTGACTCTGGCCTCAGCTGTGAACAGATTCTGGCCATCTTATAAATATGTGCTATTGGTCATAGGAAGATTTGTAAATGGATCAGTAAAATCTATACGTTTTGTAAGAAAAGTAACTTGAAATGTATGTCTTAAAAATATACAAAAGGGAGTGGGGAAGGCAATAAATAGCTCAGTGGTAGACAACGTTCTTAGTATGTACAAGATCCTGGGTTCAACCCCCAGTGCCTCCATTAAATATAAATGTATTTATATAAATTATAAACTAAATATATATACACACACACACACACACACACTCACAAAAGATGAAAAGTATATACAAAAATCAAGCAACTTGATCAGTTATACTATAAAAGGAGTCAATGAGCATTCAAATTCATATCTCATACTTGGGGGTCTCTCTGTCAATGTCTAACAAAGAAGGTGACCATAATAAAATTTATAGCCACTTATTAAAATATCAAAATATTATTTGCGACTTTTAAAATGACAATAAATTTCTTTTTTCACCATACTAAGTGCATGTAACCACCTCTCTTTTTCTGGATTCCTGAATTGCCAGTTGAAAGAATTAAGAGATGAGTTAATCATTCTTGATTCCTGCAAAGGCTGTGTCTGAAGTAAGAATTATGCCTGCTGCTTATTAAGGGAAGTCAGAGAAGACTGCCTTCTCTGGTCGTTAGTTTAAGAAAGGGTATCACAGATCTCAAATCTTACAGTTAGTTTTGAATATATGTCTAAATTATAACCCCTGATGACAATCGAAGACTACCATTTCTTGTTTTTAATTTGGTGAAAATACTGAAAATTTGCTGACTATCATACTTGTATAATTTCCCTACTTATTTTTTCTGGTCCTTCTTTAGCTTTCTCTTCAACTGAAATAACCTCAATTTATTTACACATTCTTAAAAGTACTGTTTTACTATCCTTTAAAACACATTCCAGCTAAACCTTGTATGGACCTGCATTAAAATCTGTTGAGCTGGTTCAGTTATAAGGCATACAGTGGATGCGGCGACCAGGTAAAGAGCTGACTAGGTTATCAGTCGGAGCCCTGGGGAGGAGCCCGGCCAGCCAGCGGCATGTTGTGCTGCGGACTCGGTCCCTAGCACCGCCTCAGTGCCACCAGGCAAACAAACTCACATCTGTTTCTCTTCATCGCTGTTTAGAGCACAGACCTTGTGGTTAGTGAGGGAGAACACTGAACTCTTAGCTCTTTCATTTAATACCATTAAGAGGTTTTTGTCTTTTAATTCTCTATGTTTTTACCACATTCAAATGGCAATATAGGTTTCTGCTACAGCCCAGTATGAGGATTAAATTAACCAAAATTGGTGCTGAACCTAGTCATTTTTTCTTGATAGATACAAATTTTTGTAGACATGTTCTCCCAAAGCCTGCTGAACCACATCATCCTTACAGATACTTCTGTAAGTTGCTAGGACTTAATTTTCTGGATTGTGTGTGGGGGGAGAGGGAGTACCCCCTCTAGAGCCACTTAAATCACACCCCTAGTCGAGCTAAGTTAACCCTAGTTCCCAAACAGAGTAGTCAATACAAAGTTGATTTTTGTTTGATTCTCACCAAGAAGTTTAAAATACAAAAGAAAACAAACGTTGAGTATATGCTTGTATCATAAAAAAAAACCAAACATTTTAACCTTTTAACTGAGAAAATAAGTTCCCAGGATGTACAATTTTATCAAATTGGTCTCCCTCAACTCTACCTGCCCATTTACACAAAGACGGTATTATTTCTTAATGGTCCCAATTCCACAGCACGTTTAAATGCCTTTCACGGAATGAAGTCTTTGTCCATTTGATATCATGTCAGGTGTTAAGTTTTGCTGGACCTTAGAATCTGATATGGAAACTGCATCAGACTTGACTGTGTATCTAGGAATTCAAATAGCAACTTTGGTTGTTCACACTTCATGTTTTAAAACAGCCTCTCAGTTTTAACCAGTGGTATTTCCCTCAAGGCTTCTATCTTGCTTGACCATTCTGCTAAGGCACAGATCCAGGAAACAGGAGGGAAGGACTATGATGTGTGAGCATCCCCACGTGCCAGGACTTCATCTCTGAATTATGCTAGAAGGTGGAAGAAATGTTAGTGCTTCCAAAATACCTTTGCTTGCTGGCTAAGAAGTGTGAATAGGGGAGCAGTTTTCAGCTGCTTCTCTGTACCTGGGAGCCTTTTTTTGTTTTAAACAACTTTACTTAAGGAGATTCTTGAAGATATTCACAGTATCATCAGAGTTGAGATATGATTTTCTTTACATGGTACTCTTTACGTGGTACTCTTAGGAAGTCAACCATTTTAATGTACGTCAACCTTCAGAGGGTGTGCTTACTTCGGATTTATTTCTGCAAGTGCTGGATGCTTGTTGCTGTTCCAGACCCTGTAGTTGTGAGTATTCTTCCATGCTGTAACAAAGGTCGTCCCATAGTCCGACAGTATCTTTTCATTATCTGTCAAGTAAATATTTGAAAGTTGAGCTGGACTGTAACCAGTCAGGGATGTGAAAGTTAACAATCAAAAAGGGTAAAGGAACAGCTTTATTATCCCTGTCCCCCTGCTCTTTTGGGGAGACAGCCTATCACATGTCAGGAAACTTGGATCTAAATCCAGAAATTTTGTTAAGAAGCTATTTGGCCTTTGGTTAAGTCACTTTATCACTTAGAATATCATTCTTCTTACTGGCAAATAGGAGGGCGGAGCCAGGTATTTTCTAAAGCTCCTATGACTCCAAAATATTTCCATGTTCTCCTTACCAAGACAAGGAGGCATAGTATTTATTAAAAGCTACAGGCTAGTGGGGAGTGTACAGCTCAGTGGTACAGTGCATGCCTAGCAAGCACAAGGTCCTGGGTTCAACCCCCAGTACCCCCACTAAAGATAAGTAAATAAATACAAACTCAATTATTCACCCCCCCCAAATAAAACAATAATAAAAACTACAAGCTGAACAGTGAGTAAAGTACTGATGTATACAGATGAGTAAGTAACTAGGGCTTCTTTTTACCTTTTCACAAATGTCATTTTTCTAAGAAAAGAGATTAGAAAGAAAACTGCTTCTTTTTTGCCACTACTTTCTCTTCTTTGTCTTACTATTTGGTGAAACTCATTCTTGAGTTTCCATGTAGTTCACTGTCAAAATACTTAAAATAACAAGAGGATTTTCATATTTAGCGCTTGAAACTTTTTGGCTTTATCATGATCATGGGAAAGCTTCAATGCAGAGTGTTTCTTCTACTTGGAAAAATAGAGGAGGTTTGGAGAACTAACTCAAATGGCTATTGCTTCATATGTTAGTTGCAAGTTGCTTGCTTTGAAGGTGAAACATGTAACTTCTGTTGCTGGGAGAGGAAGAGAAGGACATATGCGGTTCCACATGCAGCATAAGGAAGTTCTTTAAAGAACAGATTCCTCAAACAGCTCACTGGGCTGAATTTCCTTTAATGGCATGGGTTTGAGCCAGATTACTAAAGTTTAAATCCCAGCTCAGCCTCTTACCAAATGGCAGACCAAGCTATCTAACCTTTCTGTGCCTCACTTTCTCCTCTGTAAAATGAGGAGGACAAGGTGTCTACCTCTAGGATTGCTGTAAGGATGAAATGAGTGAGATGTTATGTGCGCATGTTTAATGCCCCCCCCAACCCCCGCCAAAGTCAGCTACTATGTAATATTTTTCAGTGTCCCGCTACTTGGGCAAATATTTTTAAGAAGTGGATTAATTACTCAGGAAGCCACATGTCTGGTGGAGACTGGGGTTTTCTTACTAGGTAACTGAATGATTCTGGGTTAGAGATTTAATTTTGGTGCCTCGGCTACTACAACTGTAGAATAGGCAGACATTAAAAAGAAAAAAAAAATCCCATTAACAAATAAGGAATCGCTCTGTAGCTTTCCTTAACAAATGAAGAACATGATGGAAGCCTGGGTTTAAAACTGTATTTACAATGCGAAGAACTAACCCGGGAGATGGTAGTGGTGGGTTAAATGCAATGTGAATGTACGTAATGCCACTGAGAAACTATATACTTACAAATGGCGGAAACGGTAAATTTTAGGTTATGTGGATTTCACCACACTTAAAAAATGGACAGATAATTGAAAAGAAGAAGAAACAAAAGCTCTACATTCTTTTAACAATACCACCAGCAAATCTACTGGAATATCTGCTAAGTGATCAGGGTGATAGTTGTCCATAGTGTAAAGCTCATTGCAGAGTTCATTTGCTCTTTGTATGTATTCTTTTCTATGGGGAATGAGATAATTTTAATACAGGAGTGATTCTACATTTACCTGTTTCATTTTAACCATTTAACAGGAATAATGTGTCTTAGGATGGGGAATAAATTTGAAGCTTTAATCACTCAGACTGTGATTTCCAGTGGTTTGTTTTTTATACTTCTCTGTTTTTCTTTTATATACCTTAAAAACATGTAAGCATTGTTTATATATTGCTCTCAAATACTGACATATGGTTCCATATGGTGGAACACTAAGCAGCTATGTAAAAGTGAAAGACTTGTGTTTACTCTCTTGATATATGCTTCTGTTATAAAGAAAAATTAAGTTTAAAAAAACACGAAAAATGGGATCAATGTTTGTAAAAAGAATACCACAAAACTAAAATCGAAAACACATACATAGAAAAAGGTCTAGACGGATATAAAGTACTCAAAATGCTAAGAGTAGTTATTTCTGTACGAGGGAGTGACAGCTAATTTTCTATAATGAAAATGTATTTCTTATGTCATTCAAATCATAAGTGTTACAAAATAAGAAAGTGGCTGTGTGCTCCTTACCTAACTGCAGTGTGGCAGCCAGCAGTGCATGGATGTAGACTGCAAACTGGGCTCGGATCCATTCGTCACCTCCCTCCCAGCCCGTGCCATCCAGGAAGACGTCATCCCGGTTCTCAGTCACATGCCTCACTAGGTAATCTGCGAACCTTAGGTCTGCAGTGGTTGGGTTAAGCAGCTTCCTGAGTTCTGGATCATGGATCTGGATCAGAGCTTCTTCTACCTAGAGGGTACCCAGGTACAAGTCAGAGTCTGGGCATTCACGCAGATATCCATGCCACACTTTTAAGAGTAACTACTGGGAAGTTGGAGCTGGAAATAAAAAATTTGAATAACGGCATTCTCAAAAGATGAGTCTAATAAAAGAGCAGGTTTTCACACTGAAGTTGTTTTTCACTATTTAAAAAATGCTCATTTTCTGGTTTTAGAAAATATATGCACAAATATTCAATTCTAAATTATGAAAGTAATCCTGGTTGACTGTAAATATTTTGGAAAATACAGAATTGTATAGTAAAAATCACTTTTTATCACACAACCAGATATGAATACAAATAATTAAATATAATTCTTGAAAGTTTTTCCTTTGATATCACAGATACTTTGGAATATTTTTATTATGTAACATGATATACAAAGAAATATAGGTAACTTACAGGTTAATTTTGAAGTATAATAATAAAACAAATACCCAGGAACTTGCCAGCTGACTTTCGAACTAGAATGTAATCAGTAATGTTGAGAAAAGTCTGTGGTCCTTCTATCTGTATCCTCCTGCCTTGAAAGGTACGTGTGTTATTTTTTTGTCTTCAAAACTGGGATCATAGCACATATAGCTCTGAATCCCAGATTTTTCCTTTATTATATTATAAACATTTCCCCAGGAAGCACATTTTGGTACTCTCTGTTAGAAACTACGAAAACCTTAGGATGGCTGAAATCCACCCTTCTCTTTGAAAAAGTTACTTTTAATTGTAAAATTGAACAAACTTACATATTGCTAAGATATCAAATATTTATTATCTCTAGCTCCTTCCTCTTGATATCAGGGGCATGTTAAAAAGGCTTGAAATATTTAAAATTTTAAAACAATAAATGCATTTTAATTGTGAGAATGTAGGAGGACCAGCCTGCCTGGGCAGGAATCCTGGCTCATCCACTTACTAGCCATTTGATCTCTTGGTTCCTTAGCTTCTGCAGGTATAATATGGACAGTAACAATCCTGATCTCACAGCTGTTATGAAAATTAAATCAGCTCATATACCTAAAGCGCTTAGAATGCTTGGCAAAGGAAGCAATTGTTATCACTACCAGTGTTATTACTATGCCCCAAATTCTATTTAAGAAAGGAGAACAGTGATCAGCAGTGTCAAGGACACGCACTCTTAGGTAAACCTACTTCCACAATGGCATCGCTGAGGTGTTTCTGTTGTCGAAAAAGGATGTTAGTAGCTCCAGCAACAAATCCCCGAACGGTGACATCAGAGAGAAGATGATGCTGCTGCAGTGCCATGTAAGGCAAGCACAGATATCCCTAGGAAGCACAAGAGCAACAGAAAATATCAGACAAGTAAGAGAAGAGCCATGTCTCTCTTAAAGACTAGAGAGCTAACAGGAGAAAAAGAAACTCCCAGTTTACTCCCACCTCCATGCCATCCCTAATGCAGCTGAGTTTTGACTCCCTACCAAAAAATTCCAATAATAATAACCACAGGTCTTGATAGTATTAAGTCCAGTTAATTGCTAACCTCCATGAATAGTCAAATCTTGGCAAGGTGGTCTAGTATGAAAGGTTGTCTTACTTGACACCACTCTGTTCTGAGTTAAACTTAAAAGCCTCCACAGTAACTAACAAACTAGATTTTTTCACTGAGGAAGTAAAGTATTGAGCCCATTAAAAAGTCTGTGTTGTTTAATGGAAAGCTGTTAAGTTCTCCCAGTAAAATTAAAAACATGCATTTACACATAACCACCAAAGTACTATTATGAGAAGAGCAAAGCACTGCATAGCATGTTTTACTGTCCAATTGTTAAAAATTATGTAACAATATTCCAAGATATTTGCTAGTAAACGTTTAAAGCAAAAATGATATTGGCAGTAGTTGTGCATTTAATTAATTTCCATTTGAATTGCATTTGAAAATACCACTGCCCTGAAAATTATAGTTAAACCGCCAAACCACAGCAGGTAGTTAATTGTACAAAAAGCAGCGTATTTCCTGAGAACAAAGTGTTAACACTGGAATAATGCCCTGAAGGAGGAAATGGAATTTCTGCTGAAAGATTTTAAATCAAGACAGACTTCCAACAAGCGGAACAATCTATGTGTGAAGAAGCCAGGAGGGCAGACTTGCCGAACCCTTGAATTTGTTTTCAGTCAAATTTGATGACAGCTTTACTTACTTTTTACTTATCACTTTTATTAAAAAACAAACAAACAAAATAAAAACACTGAACTATAGTTATCTGAATAATGTCTTGTTTCCATGATGAGATGAACTTCTCTGAGGGCAAGAGACACCTTTCTGCTGCTTCATGTTTTCACTGCATCTTGGATGTGCCTTGTACTAACAGGTGGTTGTGAAGACTTGTAAAAGTTGGAATGTAGGCCTAGTAACCTGGTTTTATTCTTCTGTTTAACAATGCCTTCCTCTGCTCTATAAAAGACCAACTAATAGAAGCAGCAAAAATAAATCCACGTCTACGCATTAGACATATTCAGTATATAGCGCTTCTCAACCTACACCCTCTTGTGACTAAAGGCAGAAAGGACCACTGCTCCTCATTCAGAATCAGATGGTCATGCTCACAGGTCATGCTCTACTTTGTGTGCTTTGTGTATTAAAAACAACAGGTTCCCCTTCCCTACCACCTGTTTCTAAACATAAATACTACCATATTGAATACTCTTTCAAACTTGATATGGACCCCAGAATACCCCACTCCCCACAAAGAGGACTGAGAATCTTTCTTGATAAAGAAAATTATTACAAAAGATTTATGTTGCAAAATAGTAATAAGATAATTTAATTACTCATAGTATTATATTCATAATTGATTCTATTACAGAAGAAAGGTCTATTATCAACAATGGAATTCTTGGCTAAGTCTATAACCACATGAAAACTATGAAGTATGTTTTCTAAAAAAATAGTTTAAAGTTCTTAAAAATATGGAAAAATACATTCCTTAACAAATTATATATATATATACACATAATTTTTAATTTTCCCCCCATTTCCCTCATTCTCCAACTTTTCTCTGGTTATAAAGAGGTACAGTCAGCAGAGCAGACATATTACACAGGTACACTTTCTAATTTTCTTCTTTTTCCATTGGTTCTCTCATTCCCTTTCCTTCACCCCATGGTATCCTCCCCAAAGTGGCCGCCAGTCCCATCTCCTCTCCCTCAGCACCTCATTTTTCTTCCTTACATTCCTAAATCAGCTCTCAGTTCAAGCATATTTTAGAATCTTGTATCTACAGTGTTTATATAATAAGCCTCATCTCTAAGATTGACAAGAAATGCGTCGTCAACTTCAAGTACCAGAGAGAAGATTGGAAATCTGGAGCTGGGGAATCTCTCCAGACAAAACTTTTATTATGAAGAAATGCGTTTCCATTTATTCATATGCTAACTGAGTCAGGGGACCAGTCAGCTTTATTCTCTTCAAAGCTTACTATCCTTCTTCAGCAGTATTGTCCAGGCATCCAAGCTTCTCTATGGCTATTTTTGAAATGACTTTTCAAGATGTTTTGCTAACCCAATTCCTCTGTACAAGCATTTTAAGATCTTCAGGAGGAAAAAAAAGCCTAAAGACAATTTATTTTTAAGTATATTTCATATTCATATTCAAGTTACTGACATGAAATTGTACTTGAAGATGTGATTATACAAGTTAGGTTTTAATTATTACATAATAATACATAAAACCAAAAGGAAAAATGTTTAACTTGTCATAATGATGGTGGTAAGCCCATCATATATTCAGTACTGGCATAATGCACACAAAGAAAATATTCTGCCAAACATAGCTTATTAACAGCACACAAAATACACTTGCATTGCTTTCTTTAATTGAGCAACCTTGCAGACAAAAATTAACTCCCCCTCACATTAGTTTCCCTCTTGATTTTCCACAGCGATAAAAATTAAGAGTGGGTGGGTGAAGCAGCAAAGTAAGGGCTTCAAAAAGTATAGGCAGTTCTGATGCCCACGTGAGTTCAGAAAACCCAATATACTTGTGGCTACTGACTATACTCGATAGTTTGAGAGCCCCGAGTTTTCTCCCCAGGCTCCTAAATCCCAGTTTTAAGATCCTGTGCATTAGTTTAATCATGAAACCAATTAGGATAATTTCAGCTTCCCCAACAGGCCACAATATGAACAAAGACAGCATTTTCTGTTAATTATTTGGCAATACTGATGTGGAGCAAGTACTTATTTGTAAAACTGGATAAACTCAGAAATAATTTATTGTATAGTGGAGAAGAAATACCTGTTCAAGTCAAAACTATCCATGTTTTTTCATATAAAGTTTTGCTTCAGGCATAAAGGAAGGTATTTAAAGAAAAACATAAATCTTCATTCTAGTTACCAGAAAGATGTATCTCTCTTTCATGGGAGACTGCAAAACCATGGATGTAAGAATTTAGAATCTAGTATAATACCCAGCATATAGGAAAGCAATAAATACTCGCTGACTAAAAAATGAAATGGCATTTCTTTTCTTTTGCTCCATTTTGAAAAATAATTTACGAATGGCAATAAAAAAAGCAGTTTCCTTTGAGTAGAAGGAAAACAGCCAAAAGATCCCAATGTAGCTTCCAGAATCTTATTACTTACATTAAGAAATGATATGGTTACCCTGAATATTTAAAAACTGTGTAAGCCTATGTTGAGGTTAGGAATTTTACACAAGAAACAAGGCAGATGTCCATAAACAGGAGAATGAGTGAGTAAACTGTGATATATTCCTAGAACGGATTACTATTAAATAGCAATGAAAATGAATGAAGTATAATTATGCGTGTAAACATGGATAAAACTCAAGTAAAAATTGAGTGAAAAAGCAAGTTGCATAAAAATATCTGCTGTTTACTTTTGTTTATGTGAAGTTTGATAAAGCAAAATTAAATCATTTATTGCTTAGGGATACATACATGTATGATGAAACAATAAAGAAAAGCAAAAGAATGGGAAAAAAAAAAAGAAATGATATGCTGGGGGGAGGGTACAGCTCAGTGGCAGAGCACATGTTTAGCATGCACGATGTCCTGGGGTCAGTCTCAATCCCCAGTACCCCCATTAAAAAAAAAATGAATAAACAAAAAATAAACTTAATTACTTCCTTCCCCCCAAATTTAAAAAATTTAAAAAAAATGATATCCTAGGACATAAGGTACTGAATCAAATATTCAATCTGACTTACTACATTGTGTTTAAGTTATTTTTAAAAAAATCACAAATACATTTTGAATGGTTTTTTTCAATAAAAAGGTTAAAAAATAGTTTTTAGGGCAAATTAACCAAAATGCTGTATTATACTTAAGAGGGGTACTAATATTAATAAAGTTAGCCATCTAAGCATTTTTTCTTATAAATTATAGCTTATGGAATTAGACTATTTTAATATATATTCAATAAATGTAATCAAGGCCTTCTCTGTCTGGGCTTTCTCAATTCATCTTTTTTTCACAGATAGACCTGAATAATTAGAAACAGACAAAATTCAGTGATTTCTTACCTCATAGTTTCCAAACTCATTGCAATCAAAACCCCCTGAATTAATTCCCTGTAGCCTTACATTATGGTCACAGATGCCATAGTACTACATCTGGTACGTATTTTATAGTTCTCAAGAAAAATTTTGAGACTGAAAATGTGTTCAATACTAAAAGTTAAGCTTTAAAAGGATTTTGTCAGATCTTTAAGGGCCTTAATAAAGGAATGAAACTTTACCTTTGTGAAGATGGCCAAGGGCATGCCATACTGGTCCTCTTCCAACCCGGAAATTAGCCCTGGAATCAGGACGACCTGGCCCATATTCGCCTGAGGTTGAACAGTAATCGGAGGACTGTCTGAGGGCAAAGATTCCTTTGGAAATGAGTTTGTCTGTTCTGACTCCACCTGTTCTCTTTCCTTCAAGGAGGAGTCCTCTAAGACACTAGGATCCAAGGTCTCCCAGTCACTTTCTGAAGACTCTGGAGATGGGCGAGAAGGAGGTTTCAAATATTGATTGGTATCATTGGGTTCCTGTCCTTCACTGCTGTCATCTTCTACCTGGAACAAAGGTTCTTCAGTCTTGATGGCAGCATCTCCTTGGTGGTTTTCCGTCATGATTTTCTTGACAGTTCCCAAGTTGGTATTTGAAATGTCAGGCATTGAAACAGAATCATCTGCAGGGGGATTACTTTCTTGAAGCCCAGCATCTTCAGACATACTCTTTCGGGGTCTATACTGAGAACAGTCACTGAGACCATGTTCAATCATGCCTAAAACATACAATATTGGAGAACAGCTTGGCTTATAATATTAGGTAGAAGAAGATAAGAGATGCATATTCTGCTCTAAATAGTGGGACTCTCCTATAAAAATTTTAATAAGCTATGCCCCCACACATTTTAATTTAAAGAAGAAAATATTGGACAAAAGAGAGAAAAATTATTGCCAAAGTGAAAATGTCATATTAAAGTAGAAAGATAACCCTAACCAGTTTATCCTTCAAAATTTCTATCATTCAAAAGGTTCAGTACAAGTTTAAAAAAAAAAAAAAAAAAAGAAAGAGTAGAAACTGTTACCTTCTTACCTGGAAAAAGGGATAATACAGTCATCAGGGCACCCACCAATTTATTCACTGGAGAAATATAAAAGAGAACCTGAAACAGATTCAATCAAAATTAAATTAGAAAATCCATGAGTCTGCAATGATACCTGAAAAAAAGAAAATTAAAAGAGGAGAGAAGAAAGGGGAAAGCTCTTCTTTTACAGAAGTAAAACAGCTCATAAACATAGGATTTATGATAGAATCAGAAAATCACCAAGTATCCACCATGGCTCAGGAAAAACTTTCTGTGGACGCTAAAACTATTGTGAAAGGTTGTCAGGCAACAGGATATTCACATGGCTTAAAATTTACTGTCCTACAGATTACCTATTAATTGCAAAGGGAAAAGCAAGTACTTTAATATGAAGAAACCTGGCAATCACCGCCTTAATTAAATGATCAAACTTCACATCTCCAATAAGAGTACAAACAGTTATGGGGCCTGCTGATGTGATGCCCTGAGAAAGACACACCACCAGCTGCATAGTATTCTTGCCAAAAAAAGTTTGATCTTAAACTAGCCACAAGAAGACAATCAGATAAAGCTAATATTTAAATTCAACTAATCTGGACTCCAAAAAAAAAAAAAAAGGCCAATGTCATGAAAAACAAAGAGAAACAAAAAAAGAGTGAGGTGGTAGAACTGTTTTGAGATTAAAGGGAGCTAACAATGCAATTAATGATGCTTGGTCCCCAGATTAAGAAAAACAACCAGCTTATAGGACATTATTATGACATCTGGGGAAATCTGAAAATGGATTGTATTTTAGATCTCATTTATTATTTTTAATTATTATTCATAATGAAGTGAAAAATAAATTATTCATTTATTTTTAATTATTATTCATAATGAAATGAAAAATAAATTATTCATTTATTATTATTTATTATTAAATTTCTTCAATGTGAAAAAGGAATTTTGATTATGTAGGAATATGCTCTTATTCTTTTTTTGGAATATACTCTTATTCTTAAGAAATATATTCTAGAGTACTATGGTGTCTAAAAATTAGCTTAAAATTATTATGATTTGGGGGAAATGAACACACAGAAAATAATACAATGCAAAAGTGGCAAAATGTTAACTTGTGAATACAGATGAAGGGTGTCAAAGTGTTCATTATATATCATTCTATCAATTCAGTGCCTGCAGGTTTGACATTTTTCAGAATAAAAGTTGAGAAAAAATTAATCCGAGACAGAGTTCAGTTAGACATTGCACTAAAACTATCGCCGGTAATAATTAAATTAGTCAAAAAAACAAGTAAAAATCAAACAAGCAAAGTAAAAATCATTGAGTGGCACTAAGTGTTATTTAATAGAGCACAGCACCCGCAACCATCTATGCTCTCCTTACCTACTGCTTATATAAAAAGTGCTCTGCAACAACAGAGAAAGTGTTGCATCAAAAAATATCCTTATTTTTACAAATCAATATAAAATCAGGGTGTACCTGTGATTTGTCGCATTAAATAGTTTACTTGATCATAAATGCTATTCCATGTGGATAGGCCAAGCATTATTTTGCAAAACTTTTGTTTCAGATACATATAATCAGGTGTGCTCTAGGTTGCAATGAAAAACATTTTTTATTATAAAAAGTTTGAAACCTACAACTCAACAACAAAAATACCAAACAACCTGGTTAAAATTGGGCACAGGACTCAGATAGACATTGTTTTCAAGGAAGATCTACACATGGCCCATAAGCACATGAAAAGGTGTTCAATATAACTAACCATTAGGAAAATGCAAATCAAACCCAGGAGATACCACCTTATATCTATTAGGATAGCTACTATAAAAAACCCCAGAAAATAACAAGTGCCAGAGAGGATGTGGATAAATTGAACTCTATGCACTCTTGGAAGGAAGATAGAATGATGCAGCTGCTGTGGAAAATATGGCAGTTCCTCAAAAAACTAAAAATAGAACTACCATGTGATCCAGCAATACCACTTCTGGGTATATATTCCAAAAAACTGAAAGCAAAGTCTTGAAAAGACATACATACACTCACGTTCATGAGAGTCAGTATTATTCATGAGAACCAAAAGGCTAAAGCAACCCAAGTGCCCAATGAGTGAAGAAATAAAATGTGGTATGTACAAACAGTGGCATGTTATTTATCCCTAAAAAGGAAGGGCATTCTGACATCTGTTGTACATGGGTGATGATGAACCTTGAGGACGGTATGCTAAGTAAAATATGCCAATCACCGGAAGACAAACACTCTGATTTCACTTATTTGCGGATGGATAGTAATACCACAATACGAACATACTTAATACCATGAAACTGTCAACTTAAAAATGGTTAATTATGTTATATGTATTTTACAACAAGTAAAATCTTTAAAAAGTTGAAACATTGCATGAGAGTTAGTTTCATTTTTTAAAATTTCCTTTTTTTCTGCTTGAAGAAGGAATACTTATTTACCCAGAAAGCTAGAACACAGAAAATATTCCCTTCTTAAAAATACAGCCTATATTCTCAAACTGTTGCTATCTTTCCTTCCAGCCTCATCAATGAATATATATTCATTTATGAAATGGGTATCATAGACTTGATATGTAGCTGGACCAACTTTTTTTCCACTTAATATGCTATGAAACATCTTTACAACACTTAGGGAAACACCCAGAATCTTTTTTGGTGTTTGGAGTTATATACAAATCAGCACTTAGTTATTCACTGATAATTCATTATTAAAAATGATTCTGTGGTAGAATCTCTTAGATACAGCTTTGTGTCAACTCAGATTAACTATGGAAAATAAATCTCTTAAGAGGATGGTTACTAGGCCAAACAGATAAAACATTTTATGGTAATAAACCACACTGGACACTAAATGGCTGACTCTCCAACATCCATTTCACTCCTACTGTGCTGAGCACAGTAACATGGCATATAAAACTGGCCTCAGATCCAGGGATGGCTCCTGATTAGTCTAAACCAGAGGTCAGCAAACTTCTATAGAGGGTCAGAGAACACTAAAGTATTTTTCCTTTGTGGGGCATAAGGTCTCTGTCTCAACCACTCAACTCTCCCACTATAGTGCAAAAGCAGCCATAAAGAATAAGCAGTGAATGGCTACAACCTTGTTTCAATAAAACTTTATTTATAATAGGTGGTGGGCCAGGGCCCAGTATGTAGACCCTTGGTTTAGAATTCCTTATGTAAATGTTTAATCTAAAATCATGGCAATCCTATCCTTTTGTACTTGAGAGTAGTCTGGAACCCAGGTTTAAGCCAAACAGTACAGGTATTTCTTTGGTAACAATTATTGCTTCAGGGTAGGCACATGGTCTCATAGACCCAAAGGAACTGAGGGGAAGAATTCTTATTAAATGGTTTGGGAAGAGGTATTATCTCTGCCACCAGTTATAAGTGAGGACAGATATAGTCCAACTGCTGTTGGCAGTTACCCTACACTACAAGGCAAATCAGGCTAAAGATAAAGATAGCACCGTGGACTGCAGAGCAGAGATGGAAAAAATGTAAGTACTTAATTACTGAATTATTCAGTCAGTTACTCTTAAGTTTGAAGTAAGTCAATACACTTCCTTATTATTTAAGTCAACTTAAATTGAGCTTTCTGCTACATACAGTCAAAACCATTTTGACAGTTGAATATTATCAAACTGTCCCCAGAATAGACTGTATAATTTACACTTCCATAGTAGTGGACAAGAATATGGGCTTCAGCCCACCACAATTTGATAGCCAAAAAAGCCTTACTTTATACATTATCATTAGTTTTAATTTTATACAGTATTTAAGAAACATCAATAAATGTTAAGGAGTCCATCCATTCAAACTTCACCTTTTTTTCAAGAAGAATCAGTTTAAACAGGATTAGGACCTGAAAAAGAAAAAAAAATATACTATATTAAATAAGAAACTGAAGCCTATTATTTGTCTTTTCCCTGACTCAAACTTAACCATAACCATGTATCACTGAACAAATAATATTATAGTGCCTAAAGAATATATTGAAAATGATGAATTTATACTGAGATATTATATATTATCTGTGTCCTCCAAAAAATGTGAGAATCTCTAAAATCTCTAACAAGCTCCTTAAATCTCTGAAAGCTCCGTAAAGGGCAGGAAGCTATTTATTTCTGGATGTCCAAAGAATTCAGAGCAGATACTCACTTTATCTGTTAAGTAAATGATCAATGTGTATATGTCCTAATGAGCCAAAACACTTCAAGAATAAAGATCAGAAGACAGAACTATAGATATTTTACTGGAAAATGTTTCACTCTCAGGGGAACATACATAAGATTAAAAACATGTTTCTTTCTACTCTAATTTCATGAAATCTGAAACTACAAAGATCACAGAAAAAGTATCCTATCCTGTACAGAAATAAACAGACACTATTTGTATACTTCTAGAAATTTCTATCACACTAGCACTACCAACACTTTTAACTTCGTATCATTATGACAGCTGGCTTAGAAGAACTAAAACATGGTTGTGCCACAATCTGCATTAGACCATGCACCTCATAGAATCTGTCCAGTTAAATGAACATAACTTCATAAATTAAGTACATCGTAAAAGTAAGGTATCATACCTTGTGTCGAAAATGAAGCACAAGATCTCGAGGAGACAGACCTATAATGTTAAAAAAAAAAAAAAAAAAAAAAAAGAGCTGCTGTGACTACAACCTATTTTTTGTCAGTTTTAACCTCCTCAAAAGAAAGGCATGTAAAAAGCAGGAATATGCAAATATTTAAATGTTTATGTAATATCTGATTATGTATACATATAATCAGAATTGATCAAATACGATTAACAGTCTAACAACACTGTCCAATAGAACTTTCTGCAACAATGTTCTAAATCTGCATTGTCCAATTCAGTAGCCATATGTGGCCTCTGAGCACTTGAAATATGGCAAGTGTAACTGACAAACTGATTTCTAAATTTTATTTAATTTGTACTAATTCTAATCTACATGTAAATAGTCACACGGTGCCAGTGGCTACGGTTGTGGCTGTGCAGCTAACACCTGCCCGTTCTACAAACATCTTACAAATTATACAGGGTTAGAAATTGTGAAGCTTGTACTACAGTGGCAGTCAATCATTTAAACATGGTTTTTGGTCACTATACTCTGTAGGCTATTATTTCTGAATCACAATCTTCTCTGAACATCTGCCATAGGATAAGATAAATTAATCTACAGAAAAATAGATTCTCAGAATACAAGTTTTTTAACCAGCTTACACATTATACATAGGATTACAAATTACTACAGTGTGGCTACTCCATGCTCAAATAGGAACTGAGTAAGCATAAATCACTATGTGATCAAGATTTTTTTTTTAAATCATGAAAAGGACATTTATTGAGTGTGTAACACATCAACAGATGTTCTGGGTTGCCAAAATAGCATAAAATTCCCAACTTGAAAAATCTTAGAATAGAGAAGAGCTAATAAGCAGATCTCTCTCCGTGGCTCTCCCCTTGGTGTTATGACAAGGAATTGACCTAGTTAACATGAATGTAAGGGAAAGAAATAACTTCCATTATTATTCTGAAAAGTAGAACTTTGCCTAATATGATAATGGTTGTAAATTTTGGTACAAGTATGTTACAACCCTTTGCAATATAAATTCTGACTAAGAAGATATTTAAGGAAGAAGCAGAATCAAATGTTGGAGAATTTATATCCCATATAGAAACGTAATTCTGATTTTACATGCAACTCAGCGTGCCAAACAGAAAGAAATGAAAGTACTTCTTCTGACTTGGAAAAAAGTGACTTACCAAGATACACCTGGGATCCTTCTAATGAAGTTCCTCCGAGGGAACTATTCATATGTTCATAGAGCTCCTATAAAACATAGACTCAGTTTAGAACACTTTACTATCATTTTAGACACTCATTTGAAACATGATAATTGGGAAAAATTAGTTCTTTAATTGAGGCAGTTTTGCCGGGCCCTATATTTAGAAACAAGCAAGGTCTCTCTGAAACCTTGCCAGTTTCCAGCAAGCTTCCTTCTCTTCCTCTGTTTTAAAGCTTGAATCATTCATATGGTGGTATGGATTCCTAGGATAACTTCCCCTCTATCTCCCTGCTAAGTAACTAACTGTTCTTCTCTTCCTGGAATCCAGGAGACATCCATGTTCTATACATTCATGACAGGCTTGAGAAAAACATGCTATCCATCTTCAGTAAAACAGTCATGCAGTTTTCCTGTTTGGTTTTTTTTTTTTTTTTTTTTGGTGGGGAGAAGGTGGGGATGGGAGTTAGGCTCCAGAAGGCTTATATATAAACATACTGTGCAGTGTATTACTAAGATAACAAATGTAGAGGAAGCAATATCATAGCAAAAGGGCTATTATCCATTAACAGAAATATTTATATTATAGTCAACTGGAGTCATTATTAAACAGTTTGGTTAAATTTAATAAGTATAAACTGTACACTTAGGGTGGATCCTTGGCTTTTCAATGTTATGTTTGAGAAAGACTGTCTTTCTTAAACTAATAAATATCTTTCACAATATTAAAGAGATACTTGATTTATGAATGTGTCTTCAAACACATCTATAGAGGGGTATATAGGTTACCTTTAGAATGGAAATTTGGGAAAAATCCTTCTCTTCAAAATATGCATGTGTAATAAGCTGAAGTTTTGCTTGAAGTAAGCCATAAAGAGGCTTAAAGAAAAAGAGAAATTACCATTAGTTTGATACTAGTAAAAAACAAACACCCCACAACTTTTTAACTTGAAGAGAACCAGAAAAAAGCTATTTACTGTCAACTTTGGTGCCTTATTATTCATAGCTAAAGTTATTAAGTTTCCTGTTCCAGTTCTGGCTGCAGCTGAAGAGTGCCTGACCTACTCAGAGCACAGGGCTGAGAGTGTGGGCAGACTTCCCGGGTCATGTTCCAGACACTCAGCCACTTAACTCTGGGCACTTAACGTCTCTATGTCTGCTTGCTGATGTGAACGTGGGTATATGAAAAGACAGTACATCTTTTGGGGCTGTTCTCAGAATTAAATTAACACAGGTAAAAGCACTTAGTAGAGTATCTGGCATATAGAAAGCACTTAAAAGTTAGCCATTATTATCATAAAATTTAAGACATACTGTTATTCTGCACTGTTCTGCTAGCTTGTGGTGACTTTTAATCATCCTTACAGCACTCAGTTCTTATATCTAGTTGAATATTCATGATTAAATCTAAGTTCATCCTGCCTCCTCCACTTTGTCCTCTTCTGAGGCTTAAAACTAGTCTGTGTCCTCTATAATATTCTATATAATACTCTTTAATACATTTGAACAAAGTTATCTCTTAATTCTTACTTCTCTGTTCAAAACCCTCTTCTATTATTTCCATCCTTTTATTTTTAGTGTTCATTTCTAGATGTTACTGATTTTGTGTCTTTTTTAGGATGCAGAGAGTAATGCTGTATATATACTCTAAATACTTAAAACAAGTAATACTGAAAGTTTTCTGCCCTTTAATATCCCTGTTTATACATCATTATTTCTAAGTATAAAATCATTATATTTATATATAATAGACTAAAACGCACTATGCACCTCCAGACATTTTTGTGTAAGCTAGTTCTCTCCATCCCCACGTCTGTTTTATCTGTTTGATAAAATTGGCTTTCCACCCCAACCTTACCACTTAGTAGTTACATGTCTATGAGAGACACTTTTCTCTGAGATAGATCTTTATTTGTAAAATGAGAACAGTAAATACTTAGATCACCTCTCTTCTTATGTGGATTAAAATGACAATTCTATCTAAAAAGTGCCTGGTATAGAATATTTGACATATAGGCACTTGATAAATGGCACTTACGGTTATTAGGACTGTTCTTGAAGAATGATCACTCAGGAAGCCTTTCAACATGTGTTTGCTTTACTATCTGGCATTCCTATGCTCTGGTCGTCTAGCCTAGTATAAAAAAATTAATCTACTGGTGTATATTTTTTCAGGCTACCCTTCTAGAAACTGTGTTCAGGAATCGGATTAGTAATCTACCAGTTTTCTCACATTGGGTTCTTTTATAACCATTCCTTTTCCAGGAGATTATTCTTGCCCTATATTTAAAAATACTATCTTGAAAGAAATATCCTGACTAATCTTATTATATGGTCCACAGTATTAAATTATTATTAGTCAAGCTTTTTTTTTAAAGCTTAGTACTAAGCAAACTACATTTAAACTGCCTATGGATACAAGAAATTGGACACTTTAAGAAGAAATAATTAAACAAAACCATTGTTTTGTGGTGACCAGGCTAATGAAATATTCTCAGTTTTGGTTTAGGTTAACTGCAGAATGTTTGTACTCAGTAATCATATAGATCTAAGATTCAACATGATGGAGATCTGGATTTTTTTCCCCCATGAAGGGGGTTTGGGGGACTATATTCTCCATGTAGACTAGGCATCTGGTTTTACTGGTAAAGATTAGTATCCCACTAGTAATACAAATGAAACATCATAAATGGTTTAATAGACCTATGAAAATTAAGAAATGTTATATGTTTCCTTTTTAAAAAAAAAGTTAAAATGATTATACACTTGCATCTGATCAACTTGTAAAAAAAAACAATTAAAAAATATTATAGCACAATTCGTTATGTCACTTTCTTTCCTCAAACATTATAAATTTTTGTAGAGCAAGTTAAGGATGTAACTCTTCATTGCAAAAGAGCCATGCACTTCTATATTGCCAATAAAATCTGAGTAATTATGACATTTTGAATTTTAGTAAAATATTATTTATCCAGAGTCCTGAGAACAAAACTGGATAAATGAAATATACCAGCCACCTCATTCTGGTCAAGTGTCAACCACCTTCCCCCAAACTGATCTATTAGAGATTTCCTCCCTCTTTCGTAGTTTTGAGCAGAGGAGCTGATGAGAGTAAACCTGTTGAAAACTAAGCAAAAGCATAAATAAGCCCCTGACTAATTTTTAATATATCATTGTTTTCATAAATCTCTCATTCTAGTAATACTTTATCCTCAAATAAAAAGCTGCCATGAGTGTTTAACAAACACATTAACAAGTTATTTGGTCTCTTACCAGCTTGCTTAGAACACAGACACTTTTCTGAACGGTCTCTCTGGTGACATCTGCTTGCCGTACTTTCAATGCCTATTATAAACAAATAGTCATTATTAGAAATATTTCATAGAAATATTTAAAAATCATTGCTTTTCTACATACGATAGCAATCATATAGAAAAAATTGTCTTGCATTTAGTTAGATTAAGTATTTATTGAGACTCTCAGAAGATACTTTTGAACGAATAAGTGTCAGCCAGAGCACTATGTGCCAGAATCTGGCAGGCAATAGGAATTTAACAGTGACAGACAATCTCCACTCTTCAGGAATTTACAGTCTGATGCAAGTATTTATATACAAATTGTCACATTCATAATGCTAATCAGTCATCCTTGCTTCTGGTTTTAAAATGGATACCCCTTCACAGAGACTCCTGTTCTGGTGAGAAGGGGACAGTTTAATGCCTGCTTCTCCAGAGGTGGAAGAACTGTCAGCAGTTTTGTTCAGCTGGCTATTCTATGCTGCTGGAGTACCTCCTGGCAGACTTGTACTGTAGCCCAGCCCTATGCCATAACTCAAGCCTCGGTGATTCTGAGGATGACCACATGTGATTTCTGCGGTTTTCTGCTAGTAGAAAACAAGAATTCTATCAACCTCACATAAGGCTGAGAGGGAACTCTAGTGTACTAGAGATGTCCTTGGGTCTGTCCTGAGAACCATGGGGTCTCAGTGTCTTCAACTGACTATATACTGGTGGTGAGTAGAGTCTTTCCTCAATCTGTTTTCTACCTCTTTACGTTGACTGGATTAATCAATCAGGCCTCACCTTTGTTCAAAGGAAATCAAAGGCTTTCTCCTAAGCTCTGGGGCCCTCTGGTGTCTGGTTTACCCCTCCGGTTATCAGATGAGGATAGACAAACTTGGAGAAAAGGGAAAGCCCAGTATACTCTGGAGTGGACAGACTCAGGGGGTGAGGGAGACAGGCAGTATGAAATGTCATTTAAAGGCTGTCTATGCAGAGCATAAGAACTGTTGTTAATGACAACAGCCTTGAAGAAACAATTTTACTAATGGTTATATAACTTACAGGGGATAAGGGGTAGTAAAGGGAACAGATTTCTAAGAAAGGACAGCAGCTTGATTCATCTCATCTAAGTGTATGTAAGGGTAACAGTATATGAAGCAATCAAATGCACAATTATCTCAGACTTCTTTATCTTTAAATTCAGTTACTCATTTGAACCACAAACATTTACTGTGTGTTCTATGTTCCAGACTTTGTTCATGGTGGGTTATTTCACAGTAGTTAAGTACATCTGCAGTTAACTTGCAAATGGTTCAGGGAAACACACATACATATACAGAGCAAATGTGGTAGAACATTGACAATGGTTGAATCGAAATGGTGGGTATATATGTGTTTACAATTGTTTTAATTTATTTGCATGTTTAAAATCTTCATTATAGAAGTTATAAGAAAAAATTTTTAAAGATTTACTAAGTTAATTATTCACCTGAGGAGGCTTTTAAAATGTAATTGCCTAGGCTCTACTCCCAGAGATTCTAATTCAGCCTATAGAAGCAAAGGCCAGATATGTGTATTTTCAAAAAGTCTCTAGGTAGTTCTAATTAAAAACCATTGTTTTAGAGCAGTGGTTCAGTCTTGCCTACATATTAGAATCACCTGGAGAGCTTTTAATACTCCTGATGCCCAGAACATTAAATCAGAATCTCTGGGGTTGGGACCCGGTCACCCGTAATATTTAAAGCTCCCCAGGTGGCTCCAATGTGCAGCCAACGCTGAGAAGCTCTCACTACTTCAGAGTAGTAATGATTTCATAAGAGGAAAGACATTTTTACTCAGAAAGAGTACCCCCATCACAAAAAAAGGAGGGGAAAGAGCTATTACAGTAAGTCAGGCATTACACGGGCACATAGTTTAGGAATCATCAAAATTTTAGTTATAGATAGTTAAGATAACGTGTGAGTAGTTTGCAGCCACGAAAGTACTTTCCACTACTTCTAGGATGCTCTGTAAAAAAACAACACACATTACCACTCCACTTTTCTAAGTTATATACCAAAGATTAGAAAAATTCAAAGACACCATGAAGTTTAAATACAGTATTTTGAAGACAAATGGAAAATTTAGGTATCACTATCTAAAAACAATGTACAAAATATATGATACAAAGAGTCACCAATGTTAACTCAGAAAAACATTCATGTGAATAAACTGGTACCATAGAGAAAACAGCTAGTTTATAAAAACTGAAAAACAGTATCACAGGTACCATAAGAAAAATAAAGACTATTTCTCCAAATTCTACATCTTAAGCAACCAACACTTGAGGAATCTGTGAGTGTTTTTTGTCGTTCATTTTAACTGTCGTACCTTGGCTTCAATTTGTCGATAGCAAGAGATACCATATACAGTGGCTCCATTTCCACTTCTGGGTGGCAAGTGAAAAAACACAGTATCTACGAGATACACAGAAAAATGTAAATACCACAGAGAATTACCTTTATTATTATTGAAATCTGAAGGTACTTTAATGCAGTCATTAAAACAAAAACAATGATGTAAAAAGGAACCTATGGAACCCATGTCGCATTTATTTCTAGGATCAAAACCACTGGTTCCTTAGAATTCCTCTAACCACCTTCCAGTGTACACTCATCACAAAAGGCCCAGGACGTTGAATTATAACAGGTCGAATTGAGACTATAATCACTTTTCTCAGAAAATACATACAAAGGCAATCCATAAATTTTGAATAGAAATTCTGAGAAATTCTGGAGACAACTGGCAAAATTTCAACATAGGTTGATATTACATGGTATTAGTTAAATCTCTTAGCTGTGGTATGGTATCAGAAGTTATGCCAGCGAATGATCTTATTCTTAGGACATGCATGCTGAAGTATTTAGAGGTAAAGTGTCATGATGTTTGCAACTGACTTTCAAACAGAATAGGCAAAACCATACACACGTATAAAGAAAATCTGTGGAATATTTGCTCTACTATTCTTCCAACTTTTCTCTATGCTTAAAAGCTTTCATAACAAAAAAGTTAAAAAAAATTATGACTTGTGAGGTTAAAAATACCGCATTTCAATTTTACGTTAAACTGCATAGTAATACTTCATTTCATACAAAAATTAGTAAGTATTAGAAATACAGGTAACCAAACCAAGTTTAAGCTGGTGTATTGGTAGAGCCTCTAATACCATAAAGTATAATTCTTCATTAAGCCACTCAAAGCACTCATTTATAGGGTGATAGAAGATTCAGTACTAACATCACAGCACTGCCTTCCTTGAGGGTGCTAACATGCTCCCTGTGCAAGCAAGCAAACTTTTCAGAGAGCACTGCGATGGCAGTGGAGAAGGGTGAAGAAGCAATTCTGGCTGCTTTTCAGGTTGGCTTTGCAGGACTAAGCTAATAAGTTTGAGCTAGAGCCTTAATCTGCAGCTGGTGCGGTAAGCACTTTAGTATGTCTCTGACAGGAGTCTAAAGTTTAAATGCAAAACTGCTACCAGTAGCAGATGTCCTAATCTGGCTAGCACTTACTTTCTGAACAGGGCTCCTCGCAAAGGAGTGGCCAATGTTCACCAACCATTACCAATATAAGGCTGACACTCCTCTGGAGATCTCTAGTGTTTGACTAACTAGTCATCTCTAAACAAGCTTTAAATATTTTATGCATAGTCACAATAGGCCAAAGGTCTTTCATTACCAAAGTACTTAGAATCTAAGATGTCTTAGCAAATTAAAAAAAAAATGTGGGAGGGATACCTACTGATCACTCCACTGTCTGTTTACATACCTTCTTGGTAGTTGTGTGCGCCATCTGGTAAGGCAAGGAAGGGCAAATACTTCCATTCCTCTGGTAAAATGTGACTGTCGTGTCCATCTCCTGGAATCAGGGGCGGGTAAGAGAACTCAACCTAAAATGGTAAAGAGTGTTAGCCAGAAGGTGGTTGATCAAAGGCTGCATTATATTCTGACAGGCAAAAATGATTTTAAACTCTGAAAGACAGAAGTAAGGATAAGTCACACTTGATGCCACTTGATATTATCAGCAAACCTATGGTTTAGAAGAGGAAAAAGAAGTAAGAAGGAAAAATTTGTAAGCCTTTTCCCTTTTCTGATTAAAAAGGTGTTTAATTCCAATGTGCACATGAGGGTAGACGGTAGTGGTGGTGGTGACTGCTAGAGATGTACATTTGGGAGGTGTTATCAAACAGATGGTAATTGAAGACATGGAGCCTAAGAAAAACCAACATCCTACTGAACCGAGTAGGAAAGACCCAACAAAGGAATCTGAGAAGTTGAGCCAAGATCTAGATTTGCTTCTCATCAGTTGGCTCCCTTGCTTCCATGACTTGAAGCTTTGAGCTTATGGCTTTGATGGGTTGTTGGGGGTGTGAGTGAGTATTAACCACTTCAGGTTATTTTTTTCCCCAAGACTGAGAGTTGATCAATGAAAAGTCAACAAAGTCTCTCCAATACTGTGTCCTATAGAAATAACAAAGTTTTTATTATGTTTCTGGTTTCTGGCATTTCCCAGGTTTATTAGCATTTCCCCTGTGCTTCTGTTTCTTTTTGTTATTTCAGTGCAACTTGGAGAGGAAACCATTATTAAATGCTCAGGATTTGGGTAATCATATTGACTTAGAAGTTCTAGGTGTCATGTTTAATTTTCTTTCAAAGTATATTTAAGCAGGATTTTGCATTGCATTTGTAATATACACACTAAAGCTGGAACAACCTAGGAATGAGAATAACTTTTAGATCCCATCTTTAATGTGGAAAGACATGATGGCTCATTTTCCCAGTTCAAGGGAATCAAGGTGCCAGGAGGCCAGTTATAAAAAGGCTTTAGAAATTATTATTTTTAATAGGTGATCTAATTCCATACTGAGAATGTTTAAATTTCCCTGCTCCTACCTCCAGAAGCAATCAACATTTCAGTTTGAAAATTTTTCTTTAAAAGTTTGGATTATGGAGTAAAATTCCAGTGATTGGAAACTCTTAAGATTCTCAACAGCTTTATCAGATAAATTAGGAAGGCCACCTCCTAACAGGTGCAGAAATCTCAAGGTATTTCTGGGGAACTTTGAAAAGGGATGATTCACCCAAATCTATAGGTATCACAGGTAAAGCATTTGGCATGGCCTCCCTGGTCTTGAGAGGCTTTTAAAAAATTTAACCTGAGATTTCTTATTAAAGTTCCAGCAAAGTCAATTTTTAAAAAAGCCTATATGATCCCTTACACTTACATAAGTCATCAGGTCAAGTTTATTGAACAACCAGTTTACTTTGTAAACAAATTAGTTTGAGTTTGGTTATATTTGGTAGAAATGAGGGTAATTTTAGAAAGGAAAAGATTATGTTTCAGTGGATATTAAATTCTAGTATTGTTAATTAGGGCTTGTATTTACTGCCTAAGACTCACTTCCCAGACAGTTCCTTGCTATTATATTATTGTAAAGTTTAACAGAATTATTAAAAGATACTCTAAACTTGTTTCAGAAATTTAGTAATCTATCTTTGGGTGAAGATCAGATGGCCCATGACTTGCAACCAGGAGATTATGTATACTGGAAAAGATATCATTTAAAGGACTATCTCCAACCTAGATGAAAGGATCCTTATCAGGTACTCTTAACTAGCTTATGGACAGTGAAACTGAAGGGAACTGACTCTTGGATCATTATTTCCACTTAGAAAGGGGCCCTGCACTGGACTGTCCTATAGGGAGGACTGCTGACCTCAAACTCCCCTTACTAAAACAATGCTCAAACAGAAGAGAAACCATCAGGCCAGGCTGAGAAGATCCCCTCACCTGGCCAATTAATAATACCTGCTGTGACCCTGGCCATAAATATGAATTTTCTTTTGGGGCCACTCAAGCTCAATCTGAACAAGCAAAATTTCAGCTAAAGATATAACCTCCCTCAGTTGTGGGATGGAATTACATGACTAACACCAGGCTATGATCATTAAGTTGAAGGCCCCCCACTCTATGATGGGAATAATTAAACCACATAGAGGATAACCAGCCTGAAAACACCAGGAAATTGGGCTGGATGCCTTATGAACAATGCCAATAAACAATTTCCCTTAAAGACAAAGACTGGTACAGAACAGACTAAGTCAGTTGACCTGGGGATGCACTGGGCCACACCTCATGGGTGTTCTTGGCTTAAATGCTTACCTAATGACTTTACTAATACTACTAACTATATTACTTGTATTCTACCTATTTTATAGGATAATTGTTTCTTATATTACTAAATGTGTGGCTGAGCCTCTGATAAAATGAGGACTAGGCAACTTGAGGCTCATATAAGAGCCCTCCAGGTATTAATTTCCTAATCCCCAAAATCTGTCAGTTATTTTACAAAGCAAAAGGGACATTGCAGATAAGATTATCTCCAGATGGAGGATTATCCAGGTGGTCCCAATGTAATCACAAGAGTCATTATAAGAGGCAGAAAAGCCGAAGATATTTGAAGATGCTATGTTTTAAGGTACTCTGTACATGGAGGAAGGGCCATCAGCGAAGGAATGCAGGTGACCTCTAGAAGCTGGAAAAGGCAAGAAAATTAATTCTCCCCTAGAGCATCCTGAAGAAATGCAGACTCGTCAGCCCCTTGATTTTAGGCCAGTGAAACCCATTTGAGATTTCTGACCTCCAGAACTCTAATTTGTGTTGTTTTCAGTTACTAAATTTGTAGTAACAAGAGCAACAGAAAATTAATACATACTGCTAAATTTAAAAAGGAAGCAGGATATCAGTAAATACAGTATAATTCTTATTCTGTGATTCCATTTACACAAGCAATTATACATCTTTGTAAATGGATTAAAAAACATGCTTAAAGATACAATTTATATTTTTAATAAGGGTTTTATCTCTGAAGAGGTGAATAGGACAGGGAATTGGAGATAAAGGAATATTCCTGTTACACTTTTTTATCCTCATCTTTCTTGGGAAAATTTCAAATTTACAGGAAAGTTGAAAGAACTCGAACAATTTTTTAACTTTCATCTATGTTCACAAACTGCTACTTTTTGGTCACATATGCTTTATCTGTGTGGCATGTAGATGCAACAGATAACTTTTTCTAACCCACTCAAAAGTTGAGGATATTATTTACTTTAAAGTAAACTGGTATTTACTTTTAAATGACTGCTTTTACAATTTAAAATGCAGTCAACTCATAAAATTACTATAAATATAAGTGTAGATACTACATATGCTTGAAGAATTCCATGGGTAAGATAAGGCAGCTTTAGATTCACTTGCACCCAGAGTATTTATAATATCACTTCTTTGGGAAAATGTATTCAGAATTTCAAACAGCTAACTTTTGGGACACAACTTTTTCATTAATTATAGACTGCCTATACTGTGTTGACAGCTTTCTAGAATTCTTTTCTTCTGCTGGTTTACTTGCTACCAACAGGTCCTTCTGACTCAAAGCTCCTAAAACCTTGGAATTTCCTGAGAGGAACATTTTTTGTTATTTATAACAAGAGGCTTTCAACCACACCTGGCTTTATGCTAATGAGGTGATTCTTGATGGGACTAAGTGGCTCCAGGATGGGACCTGCCCTGGTCACCATAAAGGTCAAACCTCGAGTAGAGGCTAGGTACTTTCAGTTCCACCCTCAACCTGAAGGGAAGGGAGTGAGGCTGGAGACTGAGTTCAATCACCAATGGCTAATGGTTTAATCCATCATGCCTATGTAATGAAACTTCCATAAAACCCCCAAATGGTGAGGTTCAGGGAGCTTCCCAGTCGGCAAAGACTCTGAGGTGCTGGGAGGATAGTGTGCCCAGAGAGGGCATGGAAGTTCCATGCCCCATCCCACATCCCTTGTCCCGTGCATCTCTTCCATTTGGCTATCCCTTTTAATAAACCAGTAAAGGTAAGCAGTGTTTTCCTGAGTTTTATGAGCTGTTATAGGAAATTTTAGAACCCGAGTAGGGGGAACCACCAAACTGTAGCTAAGCTGAACAGAAATGCAGGTGGCCTGGGGATTTAGGACTGGTGTCTAAAGTGTGAGCATCTTGTGGGACTGAGCCCTTAAACCTGTGGAGTATGATGCTAACTCTGGGTAGTTGGTATAGAATAGGACTGAATTGTAGGGTGGCCAGTTGGTGTGTGGGGAAAACTAAACAAAAATGAATCTATTTCCCAATAAATGGGATTTATAAATCTTTTTTGGGGGGGAGGGTTAGGTTTGTTTGTTTATTTAATGGAGATACTAGAGATTGAACCCAGGACCCGTGTGTGCTAAGCACATTCTCTACCACTCAGCTATACCCTCCCCCCTTATAAATCTTAAGTTGTATGTTCTTCGTATTTTGCATACTGACTCAATATTCTAGATGCCTCTTTTCGATATCTCCAAAATAATACAGACAGATACACAATTCATGGCACAGAGGCTTAAGAGTCTTAAATCGCTTGGAAAATACCTGAGACTTAGATAATAGTTGAATCAAAATGCAATCTAAACAACAGTGCCGATAAAACCAAGCAGTACCACAGAAAGTAAAGGCAGGTATAGTAGGGTGCCTCACTGTACATCTCCGGGTAACCACCATGCAGTTTACATGAAGAGCTCTCCCTGCAGCTGTGCTGTACAGGGTTTACATATTGTACATGGTAGCCCTAAGTATATGTGAAAAATCACTGACAAAAACCAAAGTAAATCCCTAGAGATTAAGAAATATCCAGAATAATTATTATCCAGTAGGGTTACTATTTAATAGTGAAAGTTCACAGCCCAAAATCTAAATTAAATCTGAGGATCAAAGATGGTATCTGGTAGGGCATTAGCACACACAATGTGTAACAGATACATCAAATGTTCCCCTAAAGAAATATTAAACCATGCAAATTTCAAGTATCTCTCTTGTTATGTCAAC